ACCGGTACCGACGAACCGAGCAAGAACGCTGATGGGGTAGGCAAGGTCGGGGCGGGTCCACATCATAGCGTACATCAGCGAGCCGACGAGCTCAGCGTAAGGATGGTCAGAGGAGGAGGGAGCAGGAGGAGGGGCAAGCTGGTGGTCAGTCTGCAGGGGAGTGGTAACCGGCTTGGCCTGCGCCATGTCGAATTGCTGCAAGACTTGGGTGATGTAGAAGGACTGAGAGAGGGTAATGGTGCGCGATGCGCGGTCCCGGGTGATGGTCATGCCCAGATAGTGCTTGAGCTCACCCAGGTCCTTGCCCTTGAGGCGCGCATGCAGGGCGCCCTTCACTTGCTGCATGGCGGCAGCATCGTCAGCGAACAGGATCATGTCGTCGACATACACTATGATGAAGAAGCGGGTGGGAGAGGAGCGAAGGAAAAGGCTGGCAGCAGACTGAGAGGCATGGAACCCCAGGGACTGCAGAGTGGCGGCCAGCTTGTTGTGCCACTCGCGAGGAGCCTGCTTGAGGCCATAAACCGGGCGGCGCAGCTCCCAGACTGTGTTGGCAGGGAAGGCTGCATGAAAGCCTGGAGGCCGCCGCAAGAGGACCCGCTCCTGGAGCTCGCCTTGCAGGAAGGCGTTGGAGATATACATCGAGGCAATCTCCATGCCAATGCGAACAGCATAGTCGAGGATGGCACGGAGAGTTGGGAGCTTAGTAGTGGGAGAGAATGTCTCCCAGTAGTCGATGCCATGGGTTTGGGTGAAGCCCTTGGCACAATACCGGGCCTTGTAGACCGGCTCCTCACCTGGCAACTGCTTCACTCGGAACACCCACATGCCTTCCACAATGACGTCGTCAGGAGAGGGGACAATGTCAATGAATGAGGCATTGCGGATGAAGGCCTCGCATTCAGCAAAGATAGCCTGGATCCACTTGGCAGCATCGGGGCAGGTGATGGCCTTAAGGAAGTTGGATGGGGTGAATATGGTGGGAGCGGTAGCGATGCCAAGGATGAGGAGGCCAAGGAAGCCCGGGTAGAGAGGCGTGCGGGAAGGTGATTGTTGGTGAACGCCAATGAGCTCCTCATGGGAGTCCTCGATGAAGGGAAGGGAGGGTGGGGGTGGCGTTGGCCAACCCCATGGATGGCCTATGAGTGGGCCATGAGAGCGAGTGTGGATGCGTGGGAGGATGAACGGAGAGGTGGTGCAGCGATGCCGATGAGGTTGCTGCTGTGGTTGCTGCTGCTGTGGCTACTGCTGCTGATGTTGCACCTCCTGCTGCGGCTGCTGTTGCTGCACTTCCTGCGGTTGCTGCTCCATCCGCTGCTGCTGCTGCATCTCCTGCTGCTGCTGCTGGTGCGATGAGGCAGAGTGAGCAGGGGAGTCAGGGACAGCTGGGTCGTAAATGTCACCTGAGGAAGGAGGAGTGGGAGGAGCAGGATTTGGAGGAAGGAGGGGAGCCTGGGGAAGGAGTGGGGGAATGACAGCATCAGCCCAGGTGAGGGGGCGGGAGAGAGGAGGAAGTGGGTCGGAAGGCGGAACAGAATGATAGAACGGGATGCTCTCATCGAACACCACGTCACGGCTCTGTAGGAGGCGGCCTGAGGACGGGTGAAGGAAGAGGTAACCAGGGGCAGAGCGAGCGTGGCCAAGGTAGACACACTCAATGGCCTTGGAGGCAAGCTTTCCTGCGTGCCTAGAGTGGTCAGGTGGGGGGATGAGGACATATGCCTTGCAACCCCAGATATGGAGAATGGCAGCATCTGGCTTGGTGCTAGCCTAGAGCTCTGTGGGAGTGACGGACTGGCGTTGAGGATGTGGGTAAAGATTAGTGAGGAGAGCAACATGGACAAGGGCATAGCCCCAAAGAGAAGGGGGCGTGGAGGCATGAGTGAGGAGGCAGCGAGCCGTCTTGGTGATCTCACGAATGCGACTCTCAGCAACACCGTTCTGCTGAGGGGAGTGGGGAAGGGTATGAGTCTGCTGGATGCCATGGGTTGAGCAGTAGGAGGAGAGGGTGCGGTTGAGAAACTCACCACCGCCGTCGGAATGGAGGCTGCGGATGGGGCGACTAAAGTGGACACGGCACTGCTCGGCCCAGGTAACGATGACAGCAGGGGCCTCGGCCTTTGTTAGGATTAAGGACGGAGTCTAGGTGAACTTAGGAGCTAGAATTACTCAAAATATAAATCCGAAATTCTGGACAGAAAAGTCGTCTTCACAAGAAACGACGTCGACAAACAACTAGCCGTTGGAATGTCGCGAAACTTGGATATGTTGTAGCTCTTAATCTCAGCTACCGTTCCCAATTTGAATCATGTTGATTGATAAAGTATTCGCGACGCTATGGCTTTCGACGCACTAGGGGGTAAGCTGTAGGAGGAGAACTTAACTCAATCTCAAAGGTTCAATCAAAGTTCAAGAATCTCACAAGGAATTAGAAGGAGCAAGAGAAAGGTTGGGATAGGAAGAGAGGGATGAGAGGGAAGGTCCCAAGAGAGTCCCCAACCAAGGAAACCCCATAAGCACAAAGATTCCCTCCCTATAGGAACCCCAACTTTGACATTTGTCCCTTCCCAACCAATCCATCCAAGTTGGCCACCCTTGCCAACCTAGCTTGGTTGTTCCCAACCAATTTGCAGCTGTTACAGTGAGTGACAAATTTCCCAAACCCCCAAAGGTCCCAACTCCATATAGAGTCACCCCACAACTTCACTTTGTAACCGCCGCAATTGTAACGCAAGCTCATGAACTTTGAATCTTCATAGCTTTCGCGTTCTTGCTCCGATTGAAGGGATTCTCGTTGCGTCGGAAAGATCTTCTCAAGATCTATCATCACAAAAAACCTGCTCAAACAAAATAACACAAAACACATTCCCAAACTCCAGAACACATCACACACAAATTCTTGCACACGTTCAAACCACACATGCAAGTTGAAAAAATATGGGATGGGAGGCAGACAGAATGTGATAGCATATGATGACATCACACAACAATCTCCCCCTCTGGCTGCCAACCATCATCCACCATACCAACATCTCAAGCATGCATACTCAATGCACACTCATCCCAGCAAGCTTCATGCCCTTCCAATGATCCGCCTCCGCCAGACGCTTGGTGAAAATATCTGCTGCCTGCTGATGGGTCTTCACTATCTCCAGCCGCACCTCCTTATCAAGGAGTCTCCTCACCCAATGCCACTTAGGCCTTATGTGTTTTGTCAGCCCATGCAGACAAGCATTCTTGGCGAGCTTCACAGCGGACTCATTGTCACAAAACACAACTGTCGGCTTCTCCTGACCAACTCCCAACTCCTCCAACAAACGCCTTAGCCACACTACTTCCTTGGCCCCATGGTGTAAGGCCATGTACTCAGTCTCACATGAGGACAATCCCACCTCATTCTGCTTCTTGCTGCGCCAGCTCACAGCACCACCTCCTAGCAAGCACACATAACCCCCAATGCTGGTGCCATCCGCTTTCACTGAGTTGAAGCTAGCGTCAGTATAGCAACTCAAGAGCATCTCTCCACTCTTCACATCTGCAGCACCTCTCTGCAACCGCTGCCTCACTCCACTGTACTCCAATCCCACTGATGCCGTAGCGCTCACATAGCGGACCAACCTCTTGGCCGCTTCCAGCTGCTCATGACTAGGGCGTGAGACCACACTAGCCAATCGTGATGTAGCAAATGCAATGTCAGGCCGTGTATGATTTGCAGCATAATTCAGCGACCCAACCATCGAATGAAACAGCTTCCTGTCACTATCACCCACTACCTCCTCATCAGCACATGGCTCCACAGTAAACCCTGAAGGTAGTGGTGTTGCTGGCTTTCCCCCATCTTGCAGCCCATACTTCTCAGCCAGCCCCTCACAGTACTTCCTCTGGTGCAACCTCAGCACACCCTTTTCCACATCTCTCTCCACGTGCATCCCCAAGTAGTACTTCACCTCACCCATCTTGGAGCACTTGAACTGCATCTCCAGCATCTGCTCTGCGCTGTCCAGCAAAGCAGTTGATGCAGAAAAGAGAAGGATATCATCCACATACACCAAGAGCATGAGGATTTCATCCTTCTCCTGCAGCAGGAACAGGCTGGGGTCACACTCACTCTTCTTGAAACCCCCAGCCAACAGCGCCTCCTCCAACTTGTGATACCATGCACGAGGCGCCTGCTTAAGGCCATAGATGGCCTTCTTCAGCCTGCAGACCCTGCCGCTCCCGTCATCCAGCCCCTCTGGCTGCTTCATGTACACCTCCTCCATAATGATCCCATTCAGAAAAGCAGTCACAATGTCCATCTGCCGTATCTTCCATCCCAGGAGTGCAGCTATCGCTAACAGCACCCTCAGTGTTGTTCCTTTCCCCACAGGAGCAAACACCTCATCATAGTCCTTCCCTTTTGTCTGCTGAAACCCCCTTGCCACAAGCCTGGACTTGTAGCGGGTCAGCTCCCCTTCAGGTCCATACTTGTGCCTGTAGATCATCTTGGAAGTGATTGCCTTCTTTCCAGGAGGCAAGTCACACAGGTCCCATGTCTCGTTCTCAATTAGGGACCCGAACTCCTCATCCTCACTCGCCTTCCACTTCTCCCCATTTGGTCCATTCAAAGCCTCCTCTCGAGTCTTGGGCTCAGGGATTGGTGCCCAGTAGCAGTGAGCGATCTCATCTTCCTCAATCTGCTCAACCACACTCCCAGCCTGCACCACATTTGGCTTGCCTCTTCCCCCATAGGTCAGCCTCACTGGAGGGCGCACATCCCTCCTAGGACGCTCAGGCGGGTGTGGAACTCGAGGTGGAGACTCATGCTGCTGCTGCTGCTGCTCTACTTCAGCTGCTCCCCCTTCCTCAGTCACCCCAGACATCTCCTCCTCTGACACTGCAACCTCCACCTGTCTTGAAGGGTGCTGCACCTCATCTGCCTCCACAATGAGCGGTGTAGATGGAAGCTTCTGTTGCTGCTGCTTCCATTCCTTGTAGTACAGGGACTCAAGAAACTTCACATCCCTTGACACTGTCAACTTCTGGGTGGTCAAGTCCCATAGCAGCCACCCCTTGTGATCCTTTGCAATCCCCAAGTGCACACCCCATCTTCCAGAAGCCTCCAACTTCCCTCTTTTCTCCTTAGGCACATGAAACACTACCATGCACCCAAATGCCCTCAGCATATTCACAGCTGGAGCACTCCCATACCACTTGGTATATGGGATCCACTCCTTATCCCCAACTGTAGCCAGCACTCTATTCTTCACAAGGGCGACCTGCCTCAGTGCAGACACCCAAAACGGATCAGGTAGCCCTGCACGCCCAAGGAGAGTGCGTGCCCCCTCCTGCAGGGTCCTGTTGAACCTCTCAGCCACGCCATTCTGCTGCGGGTTGTAGGGCACTGTCAGTTGATGCTGGATCCCCTTCCTCTTCAACTCCCCCTCAAAATCAGCTCCAATGAACTCCCCACCATTGTCACTACGGATCACCTTCACCTTGTGTCCGCATTCCCTCTGAGCTCTCGGCATCCACTCCTTAAGGACAGCCGCTGCCACCTCCCCCTTGCTCTTCAAAGGGTAAACCCACACTGCCCGAGTGTGGTCATCCACAATTGTCAAGAAATAGCGGCTGCCTGAGAGGGAAGGGGCTCTTGTGGGCCCCACCACATCCATGTGCACAAGTGCAAGTGGGGTCTTGGCTGGTCCTGTAGTGCTGTTGAAGGGGAACTTGGAGAACTTGGTCTCCAAGCATGTAGGGCAGCTCCCAATCTCCTTCACTCCCCCTTTCACCTCCAAGCCCTTCAGGCTCCCATCCTTCACCAACTTCTGCAGCATAGGGAAGTTCACATGACACAGCCTCTCATGCCATGTCTCCCAATCGGCCTCTCCACTCCTTGATGAAGCCTTAGCCCATGCCGCACTCGCATCCACACCAGCAAGCACCTCACCATGTGTCTGCTGCTGCTGCACTTTCTTGACTGCTTCCAGGACCCCATCAGTTGGTGCAGTTGCATCTCCTCCTGCTGTTGCCTTTGCCGCTGCTGCCGTTGCTGCTGTTGGAGTCTTCCCATTCCATGGGATGATGGGCAGCTGCCACAGGTCCTTGATGCAGCTGGTCTCCTCTTCCAGACTCCACAGCACCTTCTTCCCAAGCTTAGCACGGCAGCTGGTTGGTCCAAAGGTCACTTCGGCCTTGCTCTTCTGCAGTCGTCGCACAGAGAGAAGGTTAGCAGACAAGCCTTCAACCAGCAGAACATTCCCAAGCCCCACAAGCTCCCCATTAGCTCCCTTAACCTTGGCATTCCCAACACCAATCACGGGGAGCAAAGCACCTGACGCTGCTGCCACATACTTAATCTTCCCAGGGGGTTTTACCTCATCAAGCAAATCTGCCCGTGGAGTCATGTGACTGGTGCAACCCGAATCAATCACCCAGTGCGTGAGAGGGTGCATCACAACCTTTCCGACAGATCCCACATCACCCTCATGCCCATGCACATCCTCAACCATGAGATACATCCCAGGATAGGCGTTACCTTGTGCACCTTCACCTTGTGCACCTGAGCCTTGCACAGCGCCACCTTGTGCGCGTTCACCACTTGGCGGCTTCATGCCTGGAGGTGACCATCCCTCCAGCCTGCTGAAGCACTTGAACCAAGGATGCCCGACCTTCTTGCAGTACCAGCAGGTGCCCTCCATTCTGGTACTCCCCCTGCCACTGGAGCTCCCATGCCCCTCATTATAGTCACCTCGGCCTCTACCTCTGCCAAAGCTTCTCCCACGGCCTCGGCCTCTCCAACCCCCTCTTCCTCTGCTGCGCCCTGCAGCTCCATACCCCTCAGCAGTCTTAGTGGCAGCACCGCCTCCCACATGGCGTCTGCGGAAGTCCTCCTGCAGAATCTGCTGCCTTAGCCACTCAGGTGTCCATTGATCTTGCTGAGAGTTGAGGGTGGGGATGAGGTTGTCCCAAGAGTTGTCCAACACCGAGATGATCTTGGTGCACTGCTGCAGCTGAGATACACTGCTGCCCGCTGCTGCCATCCTTGCATAGGTGTCCTTGATCTTGTCAAGGACCGGCTTCACATCGTCCCCTGGTCGCATGGAGATGGCAGCAAGTTCCTTCTCGAGCACGATCACCATCAGGAGAGTGTTGGGCTGAATCACATCGCGTAGTAGTTTCCACGCCCTTGGACCCGAATCATCCGCTTCCACAAGATCCTTGATGTGCTCGAACATCTCCTTGTTGACCGATTGAAGGATGAGGTCGAAAAGCACCGTGCTTTTCTCAATCCACCGTTCACGTGCTTCGCCTTCTTCCGGCATCTTCTCTTCCCCAACAGCAATCTTCAGTAGCTTGTAGCGTTTGAAGGCACTCCTCATCCGTCCGCTCCATTCCTCATAGTTGGAGCCATCCAAAGCTTCAACTTTTGATGGCGGCGGCTCACTTGTCTTCTCAGCTACAGCTCCTCTTCCATTAGCATCTCCTCCTCTCTCATTCATCTTCTCCTTGAGAAATGACGAATTTCAGCCCCCCTTTGCTGTCCACACTCAGCTCCCTCGATATTTTCACAAGTGTCGGCGTCCACGAAATTTCGGCAGAGTTTCCCTTAGCGGAAGACACATCCAACCTTTAGAACACCACTTAGGCACACCCACAGGCCATGGTGGGTCTAGAAGGGTCTTCACACTTCTGTAGACTCCTCTCAACGTCCTTAATACAGCTCTGATACCACTTGTTAGGATTAAGGACGGAGTCTAGGTGAACTTAGGAGCTAGAATTACTCAAAATATAAATCCGAAATTCTGGACAGAAAAGTCGTCTTCACAAGAAACGACGTCGACAAACAACTAGCCGTTGGAATGTCGCGAAACTTGGATATGTTGTAGCTCTTAATCTCAGCTACCGTTCCCAATTTGAATCATGTTGATTGATAAAGTATTCGCGACGCTATGGCTTTCGACGCACTAGGGGGTAAGCTGTAGGAGGAGAACTTAACTCAATCTCAAAGGTTCAATCAAAGTTCAAGAATCTCACAAGGAATTAGAAGGAGCAAGAGAAAGGTTGGGATAGGAAGAGAGGGATGAGAGGGAAGGTCCCAAGAGAGTCCCCAACCAAGGAAACCCCATAAGCACAAAGATTCCCTCCCTATAGGAACCCCAACTTTGACATTTGTCCCTTCCCAACCAATCCATCCAAGTTGGCCACCCTTGCCAACCTAGCTTGGTTGTTCCCAACCAATTTGCAGCTGTTACAGTGAGTGACAAATTTCCCAAACCCCCAAAGGTCCCAACTCCATATAGAGTCACCCCACAACTTCACTTTGTAACCGCCGCAATTGTAACGCAAGCTCATGAACTTTGAATCTTCATAGCTTTCGCGTTCTTGCTCCGATTGAAGGGATTCTCGTTGCGTCGGAAAGATCTTCTCAAGATCTATCATCACAAAAAACCTGCTCAAACAAAATAACACAAAACACATTCCCAAACTCCAGAACACATCACACACAAATTCTTGCACACGTTCAAACCACACATGCAAGTTGAAAAAATATGGGATGGGAGGCAGACAGAATGTGATAGCATATGATGACATCACACAACAGCCTTTGTGTGGAGAAGGAACACCGAGGAGTACCTGCTGTGGTCGTCGACTAGGACAAGCATGTACCGGTGCCCTTGGCGGGAAGGGGAAGGGTTAGGGCCCCAGAGGTCCATGTGGACGAGGTCAAGGGAGGCAGCAGCAAAGGAAGGATAACTGAGGTGAGGTGTTGTTTGAGCTTTCCATGAATGCATGTGGCGCATGGGAGAGCGGAAGAGGACGGGAGGGGAGGAAGTGTGGGGGGAAGACCGTCAAGCAAGCGGGAGGAGACGGCTTTACGAAGTGTGGAAAAGTTCATATGACCAAGGCGATGGTGGATGAGAACAGCGGGGTGGGACAGTGCGCGACAAGAGCATGGGGGGGAGGTGGAGCTGGAGGAAGGTGGCTCTAGAGGGAGGGGAGAGGGGAGAGTGGAGGTGCCTGCACAAGTGGTCACGTGGCATGAGGAGGGGCGCGGTGTGCTGAGGATGTACTGACGAGAGCGAGGGCAAAGTGGGAGGCGATGAAGGAGGCGACGAGTGGGGCCGTGGAGGAGGTCACAGTAGGTGGCAGAGGCGAGGAAGAGGGTAGTGATGCCAGCCTGTTGGAGTTTACGGATGGAGAGCAGGTTATGATGAAGGGAGGGAATGTGGAGATCAGTGACCACTCCGGAGGGGAAGGGGGGGCAGGGGAGGGTGGAGAGATGAGTGCAAGGGACGGAGAAGTTGCGACGTGCCTGGAAGTTGCGCATGAGCGCAGGCGGGATGGCAAGGAGAAGGGCACCAGTAGCACGGCTGTCCGCCTCGAGCCAAGCGCGACGACGCTCGGCAAATCGCGCAGAGTCAGCGGCATAAGCGGCGGCGATAGCGGCATGCTGGTTGCGGAGGGTGGCCGACCGCTCGTGTTCCTCCAAAGCGATTAGGTAATCAGTATGGAGCACGAGGAACTCACGACGCTGAGTAACAAAGAGCTGCTCAACTTCAGCGGTGGCAGCGCGAGTGCTGGTGCCAACGGGTACCACGGGGGCAGAGGTTCCTCGCCGGGATGGGGAATGAGAGGGGGGGATCGCCAGGGTGAGGTGGGGGGTCCCCAAGGTCACCCTCTGGGAGACCAAGCATGATGTCCAGGAGGCGGAACGGCAAGACATATGCACTGCCGAGGATGCGGTGGAGGCTGCCGACGAAGGAATACCAGTTGGTTGCTGAGTTGTCGGCAGCGCGCACGAGATGATCGAGGGTCGAGACGTTGACGGGAGGGGGAAAGGATTCCATTGGTGACACGGAGTGGGAGGAAGGCGACGGCGGGTGGACCCGCGGTGGCCGGGAGGGAGCGGCGGCGGGTGGACCCGCGGCGGCTCAAAGAGGAGGGGACGATGGGGATGCCTGTAGCTACTGCTGCTGCTCCCACTATTGCTGCTGCTCCTGCTGCTGCTGCCGCTGCTGCTGCTGCTGCTGCTGCCTGCTGCTTCTGCTCTTCTTCTGCTGCTGCTGCTGCTGCTACTGCTGTTGTTGCTGCTGGCTGCTGCTGCTGGTTGTTGCTGCTGCTGCTGCTGCGCTGCTGCGTCTGCTGCTCTTTCTGGTGCTGCTGCTGCTAGCTGGATGGCAGTTAGCTGATGGGGAAAGATGGCAGTTAGCTGATGAAAGTAGGACTTGGTGGAAATTTCAGTAGCACTTCGTGATCACATCCAGGAAAGTGAGCGAACTTCGGAAAGCGATATCCAACAATCCAAGCGGTGAAACAGTCTGAAATTTTACGACCTTGTAGCTGACACTAAGAGCGTTCTTTTGCAAGTTAAATCACTCAATTCTGTCAACAGACGAGTGAGCTATGGCGTTTGGCGCACTGGGGATGTTTGAAAATCCACCCAACAGAAAACTTGTTGTGAAGGGAAGGAGAGGCGGCGGCTAGGAGTCTAGCAGCGGCGATGGAGGGGACGGCAAAGAGATGCAGGTCGGAAGGGGATGGGGCAGAAGCGTGGGGAAGGATCGGGATTAAAAGTTGGCGTGAGCCATTATTGCTCTATACCATATTAGAAACAGAAATGTTTAGTTTATTGATCAAGCAAAGGCATTACATAGGAAGAGAGAGATGAGCTAGGAAGCGAAGGTTGGAAGGGAAGGGGGGGGTTAGGACCAATCATAAAGGGAGGGAGGATCCTTCCAAATGTGGTTGACCACAAGTGGGAGGTGGTCCAAGTATGGTGGACCACAAGTGGCTTAGGCAACCACTTGTGGTGCCCCACAATTGTGGTCCT